ACATAACATAACATAACATAACATAAAATATGACAGAAATCAGCCCTAGTGGTTTTGCTCAGCGGTTAGAGCATTAGCCCACAGACCGAAGAGTCTCAGGTTTGACTCCCGGTCAAGGGCACATACCTGGGTTGCAGGTTTGATCCCTGGCCCCGGTAGGGGTGTGTGCAGGCGGTAACCAATCAATGTGTCTCTCTCACATCGATGTTTCTCTCTCTCTCCCTCCCTCCCTTCCACTTTATCTAAAAATAAATGGGAAAATGTCCTCAGGTGAGGATTAATAAAAAAATAAATAAATAAAATACAACTACAAAAATCAAGACAGTGTGGTACTGGCATAAGGACAGAGATATAGATCAATGGAACAGAGTCCAGAAATAAATCCTTTCTTTTTTTTTTTTAATCCTCACCCAAGGACACTTTTCCATTTTTTGTACAGATAGAGTGGGAGGGAGAGGAAGAGAGAGAGAGAGAAACATCGACGTGAAAGGGACACATCGAGTGGCCGCCACCCGCACGACCAACCAGGGCCGGGGACAAACTGCAACCGAGGTACATGCCCTTAGCGGGAACCGAACCTGGGTCTCTCCGGACCGCAGGCCGATGCTCTAACCGCTGAGCCAAACTGGCCAGGGCCAGAAATAAATCCTTTTATGGTCAAGTTATTTTCAAGAAAGTGCCAAGGCAATTCAATAGGGAAAGGATGGTCTTTTCAACAAGCAGTGCTGGGACAACTGGATAGCCACATGTAAAAAGATGGAGTTAAACCCTTACCTCACACTATGTACAAAAGTTAAACTCAAAATAGATCATAGACCTAAATGTTAGAGCTAAAACTAGAAACCTTTCAGAAGAAAACACAGGAGTAAATCTTTGTGACCTTGGGTTAGGCAAAGTGTTCTTAAATGTGATACCAAAAGCATGACTCATAGCCCATGCCAGTGTGGCTCAGTTGGTTGAGCATTGTCCTGGGCACTGAAAGATTGCCAGTTCAATTCCCAGTTGGGGCACATACCCAGCAGTTGGTGTGCATACTGGAGACAATCAGTTGATGTTTCTCTCTCATATCGGTGTTTCCTCCCTCTCTAAAATCGATAAAAATGTATTTCTTTAAAAAGCACAACTCTAAAAATCAATACGAATCTTCTTTAAAAAATTTAAAAAGCATGATTCATAAAGAACAAATTGAACTTCAAAGTTTAAAACTTTTGCTCTTTGTTCAAAGATACCATTAAGAAAATGAAAAGAAAAGCTACAGACTGGGAGAAAAAATTTACAAATCATGTATCTGATAAAGACTTGTGTCCAGAATATTTAAAAACTTTTGCACCTCAATAAAATAAACAACCTAATTTAAAAATGAGTTTGAGCCTGGCTGGTTTGGCTCAGCGATTAGAATATCAGTCAGTGGAACAAAGCATCATGGGTTCGATTCCAGTCAAGGGCACATACCTCGGTTGCGGTTCGGTCCTGGCCCTGGTTGTGCGGGAGACAACCAGTCAGTGTGTCTCTCTCACATCGATGTCCCTCCCTCACACTCTATCTAGATGAATGGGAAAATATCCTCAGGTGAGGATTAAAAAAAAAAAAAAATTGAGCCCTGATGCTCAGTGGTTAGAGCGTCAGCCTGAGCATCGAAGAGTGAAGAGTTAGATTCTGGGTTAAGGGCACGTACCTGGGCTTCAGGTTCAATCCTCATCCCTGTCAGGGCACATGCAGGAGGCAATCAGTCTATGTGTCTCTCATATTGATGTTTCTCTCTCTCTCTGTCTCTCTCTCCCTCCCTCTCTTGCAGTCTCTCTAAAAATCAATGGAAAAAAATTTCTCAGGTGAGGGTTAACAAATAAATAAAATAAAACAAACATAAAAATGAGTGTTAATAGATATTTTACCAAAAAAGAGATATGAATGACTGATAAGCACATGAAAAGGTGCTCGACATCATTAGTCATTAGAGAAAAGCAAATAAAACCACATCTACTAGAGTGTCTATAATAAAAAGAAGAGACAATATCAAGTTGTGATATTGTGATAGTGTGAAATCAAATTGGTGAGGCTGTGGAGCAACTGCAGCCTTCATACATTGTTGGTAGGAATGTAAAATAACGCAGCCACTTTGGAAAAGTTTGGCTATTCCTCAAAAATGTCATAGATTTACCATGGGACTCAGCAATTGCACAACTTGATACTTACCAAGAGAAATGAAAACAAGTTTTCATAAAAACTTGTACACAAATGTTCATAGCAGCATTACTCACAATAACAAAAAACATGTACACAAATGTTTATAGCACTAGTATTCACAATAGCTAAAAAGTGGTATGTCCATAAAATGGAATTATATTCAACAATAAAAAGGAATGAACTACTGCTGATAGATACTACAACATGAGTGAACCTCAAAATCATTATGCTGAGAGAAACCAGAAGCAAAAGACCACATATTGTATGATTCCAGTTATATAAAATGTCCAGAAAAGGCAAATCTATAGAGCCAGGAAGACCATTAATGGTAACCTGGGGCCAGAGATAGAAATGGGGATCGACTGAAAATGGATACTTGGGGTCTCTTTGGGAGTGATGGAAATGTTCAAAATCTGGATTGTGGTGATAGTTGCACAACTCTGTAAATTTACTAAAAACCACTTAATTGTATACTTAAAATGGGTGAATTTTATGGTATGTCAATTTTACTTCAATAAAGCCCATTTTCTAAAAAGAGCATGCTTGTAATTAATTGCCTATGAATTCCAGCTCTGCTACTTACTAACTGTGGAATCATGGGCATGTTTACCTAATCTTTTTATGACTCAAGTTTCTTCACCTGTCAAATGGTAATAATAGTATATCTCTCTCCCTGGCCAGTTTGGCTTAGCAGTTAGAGCATCAGCCTGTGGACCGTGGACCAAAGAGTTGCAAGTTTGATTCTGGTCCTGGGCACGTACTTCGGTTGTGGTTTGTCCCCGGCCCTGGTCGGGGTCGTGCGGGAGGCAACCAATTGATGTGTCTCTCACATTGATATTTCTCTCTCTCTCTCTCTCTCTCTCTCTCTCTCCCTCCCTCCCTCCCACTCTATCTGAAGATAAATGGAAAAATATCCGCGAGTGAGAATTTTTTTAAAAGTATATATCAAAAAAATAGCATATGCCTCATCAGATTGTTGTAAGGATTAAATAAAGTTAATGCTTGTTAAGTTGGTGCCAATGTTTGTTTACTACTATTATTCGTATTAATAACATTATTTCCTGTGACATTTCTACTTCCAAAAGTTTCTGACAATGAAGCATATATTTTATTCAATGAATTCTATATGTATTTAAGTGATTTTATTGATTTTTAGAGAAAGAAAGGAAGAGGGAGAGAGAGAAACATCCAGGTGAAAAAGAAACATCAATCAGTTGCCTCCCCCATGTACCCTGACTAGGGATGGAACTTGCAACCTAGGTATGTGCCCTGACCATGAATCAAACCTGTGACCTTTCGGTGCACTGGACAATTGAGCCACACCAGTCACGGCATAAATTTTATATATTACTTATATAATTCACATACTGTAAGTTTCACCCTTTTAATTGTACAATTCACTGGTTTTTAGTATATTCACAAAGTAGTGTAACCATCTCTAATTCCACATTTTTATCACCTCAATGGGTTTTCTGAATTGGCTGGTACAACTTACAGTGTAAGATAAATTCTAAATTTACAAACTTGTAAGTTCCTAAATTTAGAACTAAATGCCTCCACCCACATACAATATATTGTACAGTTTCTACCATCACTTAACCAATGAATGCATTTATTGAAACATATCTTCCTGTTTTAGGTAAGTTGTTGTACCTAAAACTTATGAAAACATATTCATTTTCATTTTTTTTTCTTTATTGCTTTTAGAGGGAGAGAAACATCCATGAGAGAGAACATCGATTGGCCCCCTCCTGCATGCCCCCCACTGGGGATCGGGCCCACAACCTGAGCATGTGCCCTGACCAGGAATTGAACTGGCGACCTCCTAGCGCATGGGTCCATGCTCAACCACTGAGCCACACCGGCTGGGTGAAAACATACATATTCATTTTAGTCTTTATTAAGTATTCAATGAACATAGGTAACCTAAATTCTTATTCTTCTCTCCTTACACTTTTTTCTGACTGGAAATGAATACCTGTTCGTGATAGAAAACTTGTAAGCAGAAATGCATGGAGGAGAAAGAAAACTTGCATTCTTTTTAACACTGGGTGAAAAAGGAGTTGTCTCAACAATCTTTACATTTTAAAATATCGATTTATTGGTAATTTTTCCATTAAATAAGTGGGTTTTCTTGGATAAGCTTTTTAAAAAACCTCTTTGAGCGCTCTTACTGACATCCAGTTTCTCCTCTTTGCTAGCGCCACCACGGACCACCTCCCTAGCTCCAGAAACCTCTGTGAGAACAAGTTGGACTTGGCTTTTCCCATCCCTGGGCTGCGGAACGTCCGCGCGAGGGCGCCCTCCCCACCGTCTGCCAGGTGACGCGCGGCGCCGTGAACGTGGCCAGTTCAGCGCAAGGCCTCCTCCCGGCCAATAGCCCCGTCACAGGTGGGCTGGACCCCAAGCCGACCTCGCCTTATTAAATTACGGAAATCGGTAAAGAAGTACATTCCCACAGTCTGCCCTCACATCCTAGCTAAGGTTCCCAGGTTTCGGGAAACCCTTCCGGCCATCCCCACAGGAAACGGAAATGGTTTCTCCCAAGCCAGCCCGCGCGATGTTAATTTCACCCGCCTAGCAAGGGGCCTTTGCGGGGGCTGCCTTCGGCTTTGCCTGCACAAATAACCAAAAGGTGTGCAACGAATAGGCCCCGAAACGTTGCCTGGTGTTTTCTAGTCAACGTGCCAGCAAGTATTATATGAACTTAAGCGGAAAGAAATCCAAGGAGTGAGACCCTGCCGCACAGGTCAGCTCCTTTCCCAGGCCTGGGCCCCAGCCTGCCTTCCCGCCTTCGCTCCGCCCCTCGTCTCCGCGCAGCTTACAGTCAGGCGGTTGCCGCGGCGATTTCCTTCCTCTCCCGACAAGATGGCCGGGGGCGAGGCAGGAGTGACTCTTGGCCAGCCGCATCTTTCGCGCCAGGATCTCGCTACTTTGGTAAGTTTTCGATCTGGGAGGATGCGAAGTGAACTTGGGAGTGGGGAAGACAGGGCCTCCAGGGTAGCTTTGAGAGGAGGCAGTGCCCGGCATGGGTAGCCCCGGAGCCAGACGTCTTAAGCCACGCAGGCGCCGCCGCCTGCAACTCGGGAGTCCCCGAGCTGGGCTGGGGAGCGTGAGGTCGTGGAACCTAAATATCATTAAGGTTTTCACTTTTGAAAGTCGTGGAAGGGGGTGTCTGCATTGTCCTCAGTGCTAATGCTGTCGACGTTGGGCGGCTTCGGGCTTCTACATTTCTAATGAATGGAGGTGTATAGTCTTGTGTAACGATGAAAGACTTTTAGAGCTTCCCAGTCATCAGAGTACACGATTGCTTACACAGGAAAAGCGTTTTAGAAGTAGGAGAGAGCTAGTCACTTGGTGACGAGCTGTAGGTCAAATGTAAGCTGAAGGGAATGTTGTGATTTGCCTTATGTACAGTGATTAAAAATAAAAGTAAAATGTTTGATTGCAGGATGTTACCAAATTGACGCCACTTTCACACGAAGTTATCAGCAGACAAGCCACAATTAATATAGGTAAGATAAGAATAACTTCTTCGAGATCTGAGTTGCTTGATCTCTGGCAAGTTTTTTTAACCTCTTCATTTGTGTGATTACCTGAATTATATGAGGATGCAGATGTTCAAATAGACGTTGAGTGCTAGTGAGCAAAGCACCTAGATTTCTTTGGGAAGCACATGTTGTCCATGCCTAGCTTACAGACTAGGTGAGAAAAAAAGATACAGATATATGAGAAGTTTAACAGCATAAGGGGATATGTAGTCATGCAGCACTTTAAGGAAGAAATAAAACTGTGGCTGTACTTGCCATACAAGGTTATTGCAAGGACAGAGTTTTTGAAAGTTTTATTTGATATCTAAGCTATTATTAAGTAGAGTATTTTTTTTTCTTAATTGACACCTAGAACTTTAGAGGAGAAGTTATGTTGACTGAGTGTAAATTTGGGGTATTTGAGAGTCTGTACAAACAGCACAGTAAAACCTAGTTAAAAGTAAGGCTCTACCATCAGGCTATTAGTGAGTTATAAGATATATGTTACTCTTGACATCATTACCATAATTAAACCTGGGTTGTTTTCTCATTTTCATGGATTCCTTTTGGTTAGGCTCATCATACCTATTTATTTCACTCTGGGAATGCTGGAAAGGTTCTGAATATATAAGATACTATATATTTTTTATTGAGGGTTTACTTTAAATTGGAGTCATTGTTGGTTTTACTTTGATAGTGAGTTATGGATTTGGGTTTTCTACTCTTAACACGTTTAAAAAATATTTGGTGCAATTGTGTACAGGTGAATTATTTTTTTGAATTTTGTAGGTACAATTGGTCATGTAGCTCATGGGAAATCTACAGTTGTAAAAGCTATTTCTGGAGTTCACACTGTCAGATTCAAAAATGAACTAGAAAGAAATATTACAATCAAGCTTGGATATGCTAATGCTAAGGTGAGCTGTGTATTGTGGACCTAGAAATTAACATTAATTGGAATGTGCAGATAACAAATCCAAATCTTCTTCTCATTGAAACTTTTAGATTTATAAACTTGATGACCCAAGTTGTCCTCGGCCAGAATGTTATAGATCCTGTGGAAGTAGTACACCTGATGAATTTCCGACAGACATTCCAGGGACCAAAGGGAACTTCAAATTAGTCAGGTGACCTCTTTGGTGCTAAAAAATACTTCATATTTTATTGTCTTGTGGTTGGTGCTCTTTGAAATATGTAACTGGGATATCAAAGGGTAAACCTAATTGCTGAATGGTTTTGTTATTTTTCCATTATTTTATGTTTTTGTTTTTGTTTTGTCCTCACCCGAGAACATTTTTTTGGTTCAGATAGAGTGGGAGGGAGAGAGACGAAGAGAGAGCGAGAGAGGGAAACATCAACATGAAAGGGACACATCGAGTGGTTGCCACCCCACACGTCCCAACCAGGTCCGGGGTAAACTGCAACCGAGGTACATGCCCTTAGCAGGAACCGAACCCAGGTTTCTCTGGACCACAGGTCAACGCTTTAACCACTGAGCCAAACCGGCCAGAGCTGTTTTTGTTTTTGTTAATCCTCACCTGAGGATATTTTTCCATTGATTTTTTTTTTTTTTTTTTTTTTTTTAGAGTGGGAGGGAGCGGAAGGAGAGAGAGAGAGAAAGAAAGAAATATCGATGTGAGAGAGACACATCAATCCGTTGCCTCCTGCACAATGCCGGGGCCAGGGATTGAACCTGCAACCCAGGTACATGCCCTTGACTGGAATTGAACCCAGAAGCCTTTGGTCCTTGGGCCAATGCTCTAATCACTGAGCAAAACTGGCCAGGGCACCATTATTTCATATTTTTATTGTCATTATTGACAATAATTTGAAAAGTCAAGTATTTAAAACTAAGATACTTATATGTAAATTCTCCAAAGGAAAAGTATTATATAAGCAGAATGGAATGGAGGGAAATAGCCTATTGGATTTAAGGGATTGTTTTTGTTGGGCTGCCTAAATTTTTTATTGTTGTTAATTCTAACTCGATATTTTTTCCATGGATTTTTATTTATTTTTAAATTTTGATTTGTATTTTTTCTTTTATTGATTTGAGAGAGAGAGACAGGGAGAGAAAGAGAGAGAAACATCGTTGAGAGAGAACATCGATGAGAGAGAACATTGATTGGCCTCCTCCTGCATGCTCCCCACTGGGGATTGGGCCCACAACCTGGACATTGAACCCACGACCTCTTGGTGCATGAGTCAACATTCAATCACTGAGCTATGCAGGCCGGGCGCCATAGATTTTTTAAGAGGGAGTGCAAGGGAGGGAGGAGGGGAAGAGAGACAGAAACATAGGGTCGAGTATGGAACCTACAGCCCAGGTATGTGCCCTTGACCAGGAATTGAATGCACAACCCTTCCGTGCAAGGGCTGACACTCAGCCAACTGAGCCACATTGGCCAGGGCCACTTAAAATTTTGATATTTTGTTTATCATGGATTTTTTGCATTAATTTTGTTATGTTTAATATTAAATTTAAATATTATTTCTCTTGATTACTAAGATTTTTGTTACCCCCCTAAATTTTGCACCCAAGGCAAGTGCTTCACTTGCCTCACCCTACTTTGGGCCCTGATCAGAGATCAGCAAACTGTTTCTCTAAAGGGCCAGATAGTAAATATTTTTTTGCTTTGCAAGTCATAGGTTCTCTGTTTTAGCCACTCAGCTCTGCTCTTGTGTTATGGCAGCAGACATAGGTAGTGTGTGCTTGAGTGTATATGGCAGTGGGCCAAATTTGGCCTAAGGGCCATAGTTTGTTGACCTCTGTTTTAGATAATGACATGTGAGCATACACTTATTTATTTACTTACTTGTTTATTTTAAATTATTTTTGCTGTTGATCCTCACCGGAGGATATATTTTTTCCATTGTTTTTTTTTTTTTTTAAAGAGAGAGTGGAAGGGAAGAGGGAGAGAGAGAGAGAGAGAGAGAGAGAGAAATATACATCCATGTGGGAGAGACACATCGATTGGTTGCCTCTCACATGCCCCCAACCAGGCATTGAACCTGCAACCCTGGTACATGCCCTTGACTGGGAATTGAACTCCTGACCCTGGTCTGCGGGCTGATTCTCTAACCACTGAGCAAAACTAGCCAAGGATATACTTTTTTGAAATAATGGTTCCGGCCCTAGCCGGTTTGGCTCAGTGATTAAAGCGCCGGCCTGCGGTCCAGAGAGACCCAGGTTTGGTTCCTGCTGGGGGCATGTACCTTGGTTGCAGTTTGTCCCCAGCCCTGGTTGGTTGTGCAGGTGGCGGCCACTTGATGTGACCCTTTCACGTCGATGTTTCTCTCTCTCTCTCTCTTCCTCTCTGTCCCTCCCACTCTATCTGAACAAAAAATGAGAAAATGTCCTCGGGTGAGGATAAAAAAAATAAGAAAAATAATAATAATGGTTCTGAATGAGTAGCATTTTTTTTAATTTTAATTTTTTATTTTTCGGAGGAAAAAAGGAAAAAGAGAAGTTGTGTATGAAGGGAGAGGTAGAGAGAGGAAGAGGAGAGATGCTGGGAGAAAGGAAGGGGACACGAAGGGTTTGGAGGAGAGGTGGAGGGAGAGGCCATGAGAAGGAAGAAGAGGAAGAGGAGGGGGCAGAGGTGCAGAAGAGGAGAGAGGAGAGGAAGGAGAAACTCGTGTGTTTTAAATTCCAGCTTTTAAAGGTGCTAGAGAAATTTTTGCCAAATTAGTTTTTAAGATGGCAGTGCCTATTTTATTAACACTGTTAGCTTTCAAATAGATGCCATTCCCTGTATACACTCTATACCATAGTTACTTTTATTGGACTTGGGAGTTTCTGGCTCTTCAGTTATTTCTAGCTATCACATAGCTAGTGTCATTTGCTTTTTAATGATCTGCTGTGATTTGACTCTCAGCGAGTAGGTAATCTTATTTCCAAGGTCTAGAAACACCAAGTCCTGTAACCACTTGACTTTATAGAAGTAAGAATTATTCTTATATTTTTATTCCTTATTCATATGTAATATTCATATTCCACATTTAAAGTGACTTAATTTGGGGGTAACTTGGCATCTTGAAGTATTGTTTAATCTTAGGACTGATTGTTGTTTCTGCATTGGTAGGCATGTTTCCTTTGTTGATTGTCCTGGCCATGATATTTTGATGGCTACTATGCTGAACGGTGCAGCAGTGATGGATGCAGCTCTTCTGTTGATTGGTAAATAATATCAGTATTGGTTTGGACAAATCCAAGATGAACTATTTAAAGGGGAACTAAGGCGAGCCATCCATTACCTAAAGGTAACATGAATGGAAACTAACATGAAATCCTGGATGACATTCCTGCCTACCAGCTATCACACAATATTAAACAAGGTAGACCTAGGGCTGATGTCTTGTGAGAATTCATATGGTAGTACATATTTTTAATAGTCAATAATTCATTTCCCATTCAGATGACATGAAATTATTATTTTAATTTAAAATCTATATATAAAAGTATGTGTATTTTTTTGTCTCTGAGCTGTCTACTGCAACGTTGATCTATAATGTTTTTATTTAGATGAGAGATAAATCTTATTCTTAGTAAATGAATTGGGGTTTTCTTTTTTCTTTTTTTTCAATATGTTTTATTGATTTTTTTTTTAGAGAGAGAGGAAAGGAGCGATAGAAACGTCAATCGGCTGCCTCCTGCATGCCCCCTACGGGGGCTCGAACCCGCAAGCTGGGCATGTGTCCAGACTGGGAATTGAACTGGGATCTTTCAGTCCATGGGATGATGCTCAATCCACTGAGCCACACCAGCCAGACTGAATTGGGGGTTTTCAAGGCTAGGGTTGTTCTGTCTTCCTTATGTGAGCTGTTAAGAGATTTTTTGTTATGGGATATAAGTCTTTTTTTTTTTAATTGATTTTTAGAGGGAGAGGAAGGGAGAGGGAGGGAAAGAAACACTGAGGGTGAAACATTGATCGGCTGCCTCCTGTACATTCCCTACTGGGAATCGAGCCTGAAACCCAGGCACGTGCCCTGAATGGGAATCCAACTGGCAACCTTTCCGTGCATGGGATGATGCCCAACCAACTGAGCCACACCAGTCAGGGTTGGGTATAATTTTTTTAAAGTATGCCAAGTGGATATAGTATAGGACACCTGAAAATAATACTCTGTTGGTTGTCTTCACAATTAGTGTTCTTCCTTCCCTTTGTTAGGAAGGAGTCTCTGATAGTTGAACTTCATAGACTCTATTAAGTGTCTTTCCCTCTTAATTACTCTCTGCCTCTCAAGAGCTTGACTAGGCTGGAATTTTTCTTTTTTTTTTTTCTTTATTGATTTTAGAGAGGAAGGGAGAGGGAGAGAGAGAGATAGAAACATTGAGAGACAACATCAACTAGCCGCCTCCTGCATATCCCCCACTGGGAGTTAGGCCCACAACTTGGGCATGTGCCCTGACCAGGAATCGAACGGGCGACCTCTTGGTGCATGGGTCGATGCTCAACCTCTGAGCCACACCTGCCGGGCAGTCTGGAACATTTCTAATACTGGATAGAGCCTTATGCCTGAGCAAAAGCTGAGGGCAGACCCCAAGATGCCAAACTTGTTGATTCCAAACTCTTTGCTTAGGACCAGCAATGGAAGCCAAGCGATGTGATATCCAGGACTTTTGCCTTGAATAGAGCTAGGGCATTCAGATGTTTTCTTTGTTGGATGCCAGCTAATTTTTTTTTTTGGTAGTAGAATACACATAACAAAATTTAATATTTTAGCCATTTAAAGTGTACAATTCGGTGGCATTAAGTACACTGACAGTATTGTACAAGCATTACCACTGTCTATTTCCAGAAAGTCTTCATTACCCCAAAAGGAAACCCTATACCCATTAAGCAGTCACTGTATTCGCCCTTCCCCCAGCCCAGCCCAGCCCAGCCCCTGGCAACCACTAATCTGCTTTCTGTCTCTTACGGATTTGTCTCTTCTGGCAAACATTTCTAGCTAATTCTTACACATTTTTTTTTTAACTCTTCATCCTTTAGCTGGCAATGAGTCTTGTCCTCAACCTCAGACTTCTGAACACCTAGCTGCTATAGAAATCATGAAACTGAAGCATATTTTGATTCTACAAAATAAAATTGATTTGGTAAAAGAAAGCCAGGCTAAAGAACAGTACGAACAGATCCTTGCATTTGTACAAGGTAAGAAGCCATAATATCTAATATATCTATGGATCACTTTGAAAACCAGGCTTAAGAACAGTACGAACATATTCTTGCATTTGTATAAGGTAAAAAGCCATAGTGTCTAATACATCTATGGATCACTCTGAGAGCCATTTAATCCAGATAACAGATGTTAAATTAACTCTTAATATAATAGATTATCTAAAACAGGGTAAACTTAGGGGTCTTAAGCCTACCTACCACTAGTGAAATCAGTGTTTCTGAATTTGATAGACGAAAGTATATTTTTACTAGCTGAAAGTTAGAAGTGAAGTTGTATTCTGGAAACTATCAATTTAAAAAGAAATCCTCCTCAGTGATAATAAAATGAACAAAAGCATTTTAAAAATAAAATAGGCCTTAAAGTATTCTTACTGAGTAGCTACTTTGAGAATTGGAACTGACAGTCATTTATTTAATGTTCATAGTCCCTTTCTCTACCAGCATAGTGTGTTTCATTTCAGGGAAGGCATGATATAATTATTGACATTCGATTCTCTCTCAGCCTTGTTTTTGTTAGAAAGGTTGACTTCTCATGAACCCAGTTCTATCATAATGAAAAAGAATAAGTCATATTGATTAAAATCTAATTCTGTTTGTTCCATTTCTTTGACCAGCCTGTTCGACACATAATTAATAAGGAGCAAATATTATATGGGCAGCAGTCTTTGATTGGCAAAGAGTCTGTAATTTTATCTTGACATTTATTGGAAAGTTAATTACATATTATTAGAAGTCTTTCAACTAGTAATATGCTCTTTCCCAGGAGTGTTACTATTTTATTCCTTTAAACAGTTTTATCATTTTAGTGTATTAAATATATTAGTATATTTTAACATTTTTTCCCTTAAAGGGAATAGTATTCATTTTTAGGAGTAAAAGCAAACAATACTGCCACCTTTCTAAACAGAATTATCACTTTCTGCCATTTGTGTGGGGATGTATACATATCTATTTTAGTAATCTTGACAGTTTCATGTAACAGGTATAGAACAAGTTTTGTAAAATTGCAGAATTCTGATTTTTTCTGAATTTGGTCATGTAGGTACAGTAGCAGAAGGTGCTCCTATTATTCCGATTTCTGCTCAGCTGAAATACAATATTGAAGTTGTCTGTGAGTACATAGTAAAGAAAATTCCAGTACCCCCAAGAGATTTTACTTCAGAACCCCGACTTATTGGTAAGTGATAGGATTTGTCTTTAACTCTTAATGTTTATATTGATTTTTTTTTAAGAGAGGAAAGGAGAGAGAGAGAATCATCGATGTGAGAGAGAAACATTGATCAGCTGCCTCCTGCACACCCCCTGCTGGGGATCGAGCCCACAGCCCGGTCATGTGCCCTGACCGGGAATTGAACTGGGACCTCTCAGTCCATGGGGCAGTGCTCAATCCATGAGCCACACTGGCTCAGCAGTCTTTGACTTTTAAATTGGATCTTTTGTACATTGGTGATTCCCGATTAAGAGTGTTTATTAGTATGTGTTTATTACTATAAATTAATGAACTTAGAGATTATATTGGCAATACTAGATTGCATTACTGGATGAGGGACAGAGTCCTGAATACAAAAGGAATTTATTTTTTTGTTAATACCCGAGGATATTTTTCCATTGATTTTTTTTTTTTTTCTTTTCCAAGAGAGTGGGAGGAAGGGAGGGAGAGAGAGAAACATCAATGTGAGAGAGACACATCTATTGGTTGCCTCCTGGACAACCCCTACTGGGGCTGGGGATCAAACCTGCAACCCAAGTACATGTTGTTGATCAGGAATCGAACCTGCAACCCTGTGGTCAATATTGGTATAATTTGATCATCTAAGCTTGTGATTTCTACACAGAGATGTAGGAGTCTTAAAAACAGACATTTGAGCCCTTTTGGGCCTTCACCCAGGACCCACCTGTGTGTTGTAGAAAGTGTTCTCTTGGGTGATTATGATTCGTACCCATTGTTAAGGAACACTGCTCTCAGAACCTAAGTGCAGGTCATGTAGTCTTAGAGTTTTGTAGTTTAAAAAATTTTTATTTCAGAAGTTGTATAATATGGAGGTATATAAAGAAAATGAAAAGAGTCTGAAATCTCCCTGTTCGGGAATTGAACTTGAGACCCTTCAGTCCATGGGCTGACGCTCTAACCACTGAGAAAACTGGCCAGGGCAATGAATTTTTAAGTTATTTCCATTTTTCCATCCAAAGTAAGGCTGTAATAAACTTAATTGGAGTAATATTAGATTTTGTCACAAAGTCACCCCTATGGTGTAAATCTTGCGTGTTTGCTATTTTAGGGAAGTTAACGTAGAAAGTAATATTTCATCTAAAGTTAAAATATACAAAATTGGCTTTAATTTGTTTTTTTTTTAGTTATTAGATCCTTTGATGTCAACAAACCTGGCTGTGAAGTCGATGACCTAAAGGGGGGTGTAGCTGGTGGTAGTATTCTAAAAGGAGTGTTAAAGGTAAATTGGATTTTGGTTGTGTTTTGCTTTGTTTTTTTAATTGGGATAATACTGGTTAATAACATTATTTAAATTTCAGGTTTTTACAACTTTATAATACAACATCTGTATACTTACTCCATTGTGTGCTTACCACCCAAAGTCTATAGGTTGTTGTGTTTTGGTTTTGTTTGGTTTTTCCCTGGTCTTTTTTCCTTTTTAGTTTTTTTTTTTTTCAATTACAGTTTATGTTCAATATTATTCTGTATTAGTTTCAAATGTACAGCAAAGCGGTTAGAAAACCATGTACTTGTCTTAATCAGGAAAACAATATGGATATTTCAAATTGAAAAATAATTTTTTTTTCTAAAACATGAAACTTAAAAAATTTTATTGATTGATTTTAGAGGGAAAAAGAGAGAGACAGACATCAGTTTGTTGTTTCACTTATTTATGCGTTGATTATTCATTGGTTGATTTCTATGTGTCCTGACCAGGAATCAAACCTGCAACATTGGTGTATTGGGATGACTCTCTAACCAAGTGAGCTACCTGGTTAGGGCAAAATTTTTTCATGGTATCTAGTACTTGATATGTCTTTTTTAAATATGTTTTTATCGATTTTTTTGTTAAGAGAGAAAGGAAGGGAGAGAGACATAGAAACATAGATGTGAGAGAGAAACATCTATCAGCTGCCTCCTGCATGCCCCGTACTGGGGATCAAGCCTGCAACCCGGGCATGTGCCCTGACCGGGAATCAAATCGGGTCCTCACAGTCTGTGGATGATGCTTAATCCACTGAGCCACATTGGCTGGGCTAGATGTCTTTTTTAAATCCTCACCTGAGGACATTTTTCCATTTTTTGTTCAGATAGAGTGGGAGGGAGGGGGAGAGAGAGAGAGAGAGAGAGAGAGAGAGAGAGAGAGAGAGAGACATCGACGTGAAAGGGACACATTGAGTGGCTGCCACCCGCACAACCCAACCAGGGCCGGGGACAAACTGCAACCGAGGTACGTGCCCTTAGTGGGAACCGAACCCAGGTCTCTCTGGACCGCAGGCCGATGCTCTAACCACTGAGCAAAACTTTTTATATTAGGTTTTTTGAGTGTGTCTGACCTCTTAACTTTATAGGTACCTGGTAAGGATGGAGCACATTTTTTATGGGGATGGGCTTATGTGGTAGGTGGTTCGAAACAGTTGGATAGGACTTTTTATGTGTAAATAGGAATTGTGTTGTCCCTAATTCTAATTGCAGTAATTCTAATTACTAATTTATCTTTTACAGGTGGGCCAGGAGATTGAAGTCAGACCTGGTATTGTTTCCAAAGATAGTGAAGGAAAACTCATGTGTAAACCAATCTTTTCCAAAATTGTATCACTGTTTGCGGAACATAATGATCTTCAGTATGCTGCTCCAGGAGGTCTTATTGGTAAAGATTTTCCTCTCATTGCTATGCTTTTCTTTAAGATTTTTAAAATTAATATTTAGAGAGACAGGAAGGGAGAGGGAGAGAGAAACCTTGATGTGAGAGTGAAACATCAATTGGCTGCATCCTGCATTCCCCCTACCAGGGATAGAGACCACAACCCTGGCATGTGCCCTGACTAGGAGTCTAACTGGCAGCCTTTCAGTGCACGAGATGACACCCAATCAGCTGAGCCACACCAGCCAGGGCACATCCCTACACTTTTTATTTGTGTATATTCATGGTACTTTTCATGGGAAATAGATTACCCAGAAAGATATATTATAGATTTTTCTCTTTTTTTAATCCTCACCCAAGGACATTTTTCCATTTTTTGTTCAGATAGAGTGGGAGGGAGAGAGAGAAAGAGAGAGAAACATCGATGCGAAAGGGACACATCGAGTGGCTGCCACCCGCACGACCCAACCAGAGCCGGGGACAAACTGCAACCAAGGCAAGTGCCCCTAGTGGGAACCGAACCCGGGTCTCTCCAGACCATAGGCCGACGCTCTAACCGCTGAGCCAAACTGGCCAGGGCTAGATATTTCTTTTTTTAATCCTCACCTGAGGATATGTTTTTCATTGATTTTAGAGAAAGAGGAAGGGAGAGGGAGAGAGAGAAACATTGATATGAGAGAGAAACATTAATCTGTTGACTCCTGTACTCACCCTGACCAGGATTGAACCCATAACCTGGGTATGTGCCCTGACCAGTTATCAAATCCATGACTCTTCAGTACATGGAATGACGCTCTAACCAACCAAGCCAAACTGGCCAGGGCAGTATGTTATGGATTTTTAATTGGATATTTAAATAATTTAATGGGGTGGGAGCAACACACATGTAGTTAAAGTGTTGATTTAGGTCTTAAGGTGAGTTCATGTTTTTTCAAAAAATTATTTTTAAGCATAAAAAAAATACATTTTGGCCCTGGCCTGTTTGGCTCAGTGGTTAGAATATTGGCCCTCTGACCAAAGAGTCTCAGGTTCGATTCCCAGTCAAGGGCACGTACCTTGGTTACAGATTTGATCCCTGGCCCCAGTCAGGGCTGTGCAGGAGGCAACCAATCGATGTGTCTCTATCTCATTGATGTTTCTCTCTACCTCCTTTCATCCGTCCCACTCTATCTAAATGTCAATGGGAAAATATCCTATAAATAAATAATAAATAAAAATTTTGTACAAAAAGAACACATATTGACATAGTATATAAAGCAGCTCATTTTTATCAATAACAAAATAAGTTTTATGACCTGGTATTTTAAAATACCTAACTATACCTGGGGTGGGGTGTGCATCTACACAGTTTGGAAAGTAGCGAGCAGTTGTTTTGGGGTTTTTTTTTGTTTTGTTTTTTTGTTCTTTTTTTTTTTTATCCTCACCCGAGGACATTTTTCCATTTTTTTGTTCAGATAGAGTGGGAGGGAGAGAGAGAGAGAAACATCGACGTGAAAGGGACACATTGAGTGGCTGCCACCCGCGTGACCAACCAGGGCCGGGGACAAACTGCAACCGAGGTACATGTTCCTAGCGGGAACCGAACCCGGGTCTCCCTGGACCACAGGCCGATGCTCTTACCGCTGAGCCAGACTGGTTTGGGTATGAGCAGTTGTTTTTAATGTATGTTTTACAAATGGAAAGTCACCTACAAATGTCAGTTGAATCATATTTACACTGAGGTGGAATTAGAAGATAACTTTCATCCTGGCTGGTTTGGCTCAGCACTTAAGAGCATCAGCCTTTGGACCAAAGAGTCACAGCTTCAATTCTGGTCAAGGGCACATACCTCGGTTGCAGTTTGGTCCGGTCCCTGGCCGGTATCATGCAGGAGACAGCCAGTTGATGTGTCTCTCTCTCCTCCTCCCTCCCTCCTTCCCACTCTAGCTGAAGATAAAAGGGAAAATATCCTCTGGTGAGGATTTGAAAAAAAAATCTTTTTTTAAAAAGGAAGATAACTTCCATTGTGTGCTAATTACTGAGATAATTTATGGATTTTCTGGTTCCTTACAATTTAGTGTATTACCAGATATCCATAAAAAGGCAAGGTTAAGTGAGAATTAGAAATATTGTGCCTTTGGATTAAAGAAGAAAATGTTTGGTGAAGAAGGAATTTGACTTTTGGGTCTGTGGATTTTGGCTGTATAATTCACTTTTCTACTTTATCCTATAACTAAGAATTTACTGTATATGATATTTTATAAACAAGGAAACTCCAGAAACGTTTTTTAAAATTTAACTTATGGAACCTTCAAACCCAAAAATAGAGAGAATGATCTAATGATAACTCTCATATAGCCACCACCCAGCTTCAACAATTACCAATACTTTCCCATCTTGCTTCCTCTTTATATATCTTTCCCTCTCCTCCTCGGAAAATACACTGCTAAAATATTTTGAAGTGGATCCTAGGAATCATATATGAAATCTTTAAGCTATCGTTCTCATTGTTGTTAATCCTCACTTGAGGATACTTTTCCATTGATTTTTTTAGAGAGAGTGAAAGAGAGAGAGAAACATCAATGTGAGAGATACACATCCATTGGTGGTCTCCCACACGACCCAGACTGAGGCCAGGGATCATACCTGCAATGCAGGTACATGCCCTTGACTTGGAATTGAACCCAAGACCCTTAGGTTATCGAGCTGATGCTCTAAACTGGTGAGCCAAACCAGCTAGGGCTTTAAGCTATCTTTTTGATCAGCCTTCCAGGGGAGAAATGGCAGGCAGATATTCTGCACACTATTCATTAATTTTGTATCTTCAACCTTTATTAAGAATAGTCAGCCCTGCCCTGGCCGGTTTGGCTCAGCGGTTGGAGCGTCGGCCTGCGGTACAGAGAGACCCGGGTTCGGTTCCCGCTAAGGGCACGTACCTCGGTTGCAGTTTGTCCCCGGCCCTGGTTGGTCGTGAGGGTGGCAGCCACTCGATGTGTCCCTTCACATCGATGTTTCTCTCTCTCTCTCTTCCTCTCTTTCCCTCCCACTCTATCAGAACAAAAAATGGAAAAATGTCCTCGGGTGAGGATTAAAAAAAAGAATAGTCAGCCCTGGCTAGTTTGACTCAGCGGTACAGCGTCAGCCTGCGGTCCAGAGAGACCCGGGTTCGGTTCCCGCTAAGGGCATGTACCTCAGTTGCAGTTTGTCCCTGGTCCTGTTTGGTTGTGCAGGTGGCAGCCAGTCGATGTGTCCCTTTCACGTCAATGTTTCTCTCTCTCTCTCTCTCTCTCTCTCTCTCTCTCTCTCTCCTCCTCCTCCTCCTCCTCCTCCTCTCTCTCTCCCTCCCTCTCTCTCCCTCTCTCTCCCTCTCTCCCTCTCTCTCCCTTTCTCCCTCTCTCCCTCTCTCTCTTCCTCTCTCTTCCTCCCTCTCTCCCTCCCCATTCTATCTGAACAAAAAATGGAAAAATGTCCTCGGGTGAAGATTTAAAAAAAAAAAGAATAGTCAGACGTGCCCTGGCTCAGTAGTTAGAGCGTCGGCCTGTGGACCAAAGAGTCCCGGGTTCGATTCCAGCTAAGGGTACGTACCTCGGTTGTGGTTCATCCCTGGCCCCAGTTGGTGCTGTGCGGTGGCAACCAGTCGATGTGTCTCTCTCATATCGATGTTTCTCTTTCTCTCTGCCTCCCACTCTGTCCGAAGATAAATGTAAAAATATCCTCAGGTGAGGATAAAAAAAAAAAAAAGAATCGTCAGATGCGCCCAGCAGGTGTGGCTCAGTGGATTGAGTGTTGTCGTCCCTTGGACTAAGAGAACCCGGTTTGATTCCCAGTCAGGGCACATGCCCAGGTTGCAGGATTGATCCCCAGTAGGAGGTGTGCAGGAGGCAGCTGATCAATGTTTCTCACTCGCATCGATGTTTCTATCTCCCTTCCTCCCTCTGTAAAAAAAAATCAATAAAACCATATTTGGGGGAAAAAAAAGAATAATCAGACGCATTTTTTAGTTAGGCCATTATCTCTTTGCCTTTCGTTTGGAATTTAAATCAAGAGAGTCTTTCTGTTTTCAAATGCTCAACTAACCTGTGAGTTTACAATTGTTCCTTTTGACAAAACAAGTACATTGTCCCACCTATGTAGTTGTTTCATGACTATGAAACTATGTGTGTATTAAAATGTATAGGTATGTGCTGTACCTGTTTGAGTAAGTTTTGGGGTAAACAGCTTTGTAGGGAAAAAATTGGAATATATATATCTGTGTGTATATATGTATAAATATATATAATCTTATTTTATATATACATGTAAAATTTTATACATATTTATTTATACATATAAAATGTAATCTTATTTTATATCAGGAGTTGGAACAAAGATCGACCCTACTTTGTGCCGGGCCGACAGAATGGTGGGGCAGGTACTTGGTGCAGTTGGAGCTTTACCTGAGATCTTCACAGAACTGGAAATCTCCTATTTCCTGCTTAGACGGCTTCTAGGTGTACGCACTGAAGGAGACAAAAAAGCAGCAAAAGTAAGTGCTTTCTGTAATTCCTATTTCAAAAAAAAAATGACAATGATGTGAAGACCAGTTTTGCAGTTAGCATAGGATTAAAAAAATAAAAGATGAATACATTTAACTTCTTGAAAATTGAGAATTTTGCTATGGCAGTCAGTTTAAAGTGAAACCAAACAAAACAGGGAAAAATATGTCACATATGAAAATAATTTAGTCTTATTATCCGTTTGAACTTTTTTTTTTAATTCTCACCCGAGGACATTTTTGCATTTATCATCAGATAGGGAGGAAGAGAGAGAGAAACGTCAATGTGAGAGAAACACATCGACTGGTTGCCACCCACCCGACCCCAACTGGGGCTGGGGACAAACTGCAACCGGGGTACGTGCCCTCAGTGGGAACTGAACCTGGGTCTTTCTGGTCTGCAGGCCGATGCTCTAACCACTGATCCAAACTGGCCAGGGCCATTTGATTTTTTAAAAACTCTCGGTAAGATTACATTGGCAGAGATGGAAAGTTGTTGACATCTGTTGGTAAGGATGTAAGAAAATAAGCAGTAATTTTTGGAAAACATTTATCACAATTTTGGGGGTTATTTTTCCCCAATTTATTTCCCTAGGTGCAAAAGTTGTCTAAGAATGAAGTGCTCATGGTGAACATAGGATCCCTGTCAACTGGAGGAAGAGTTAGTGCAGTCAAGGCCGATTTGGGCAAAATTGTTTTGACTAATCCTGTGTGCACAGAAGTAGGAGAAAAAATTGCTCTTAGCCGAAGAGTTGAGAAACACTGGCGGTAAGTTTTTTTGTTTTTTATTCTCAACTGAGGACATTTATGCATTTTATCTTCAGATAGAGTGGGAGGGAGAGGGGGGTGGAGAAGAGAGAGAGAAACATCGGTGTGAGAGAGATACACTGAGTGGTACTGGCGGTAAGTTTATTAGCCTTTGTCACTGTCTCATAAAGAAGACACAATCAGTTTCCTTAAGTTCTTGGTGGTATACATGCACACTTTTCCTTGAACACATTTATTGCGGCTTTAACTCTCAACTATTTAGATGCCTTTGAAATCTGTATTTCTAGCCCTGATTTGTGGTAGACACCAATGAATTTGGTTCAGTATTTCCCTTGTCTATGGCTTTTTCAAACTTTCATTTGGAAATCAAACTTAACAGAAAAATTACAAGAGTTGTCCACAGAACTCCTGTATTCCCTTTACTTTTTTTTTTTTTTTTTGTACGTGCCCCTAGCGGGAACTGAACTCGGGACTCTCCGGTCCGCAGGCCGACGCTCCAACCGCTGAGCCAAACCGGCCAGGGCTTGTATTCCCTTTTCTTAAACGCACATTTTATTTGCATATATACACATAAACTTTTCCGAACCATTTGAGGAGTAGGTTGTATATAATCATGCCCCTTGATCTCTTAATACTTAAGTGTATATTTCCTGAAAACAAAGATATTCTCTCATATAACCACTTAAACTTACCATGAATAAAATACTGAAATCTATAATCCATATTCCAGTTTTATTGCTTGTCTCAATAATACCCGTTATGTCCCTCAAGTCTGGGATCATGCATTGCATTTAGTTTTCATGTCTCTTTGATCTCTAATCTGGAACTTCCTCAGCCTTTCTTTGTCTTGACATTGACAGCTTTGAAGAATACAAGCTAGTTACTTTATAGACTTCCTCAGTTTGGGTTTATTTGATGTTTCCTAAGATTAGATTCAGGTTTTGTATTCTTGGCTAGAATACTTATATAGGTGGTGATGTCTCCTCAGGGAATCACTAAAATTGTTCCAAGAAATTAGAACATTTGAATGTTCTAAATTAGAACCTACGTGTAGGTGGGTTTTCTAGGAGCTACTGTTGAGGTAGTTATCCAGCCTTGTCATTGATTTTAGCAGACATTGGAAGAGTGAGCAGAGGTCCCTCTGCTGTTGAGAGTAATCTGCCAATAGACTATCTAGTCCTTTACTTCTCTTAATTTCCTTAACCAGCTAAGGTGATGGTAAAGCCATTGTGATGTGCTGAGGCGCCATGAATGATTTTAAAAAAAAAAAAGCTTTTTTTTTTTTCCCATGGAGAAAAGGATAGAGAATGAGATTTTTTATCCTCACCCGAGGACATTTTTCCATATTTTGTTCAGGTAGAGTGGGAGGGGGAGAGAGGAAGAGAGAGAAACGAGAATGAGATTTTTAAAAAATAGCAGGCTGAGGAGGGGTTTTGTGTTAGCATGATTCCTTAGGTGGGTGGTTCTTGGTGGCTCTGAAGGAATAGGTATATTTTGATATAGTGAAGATGAGCATATTTATAGTAGCAACGGTCTTTTGGGGTTTTTTTTTCTGTCATTGATTCTGACTAGAGCCCATCTCTCTGGGTCTAAGAATCTAAGACAATGGTGTGCGCTTTCTTTATGGAGGAGCAGGTTTCGGAAACATTCAGATCGAGCAGATAGGCAAGTAAAACCAGTTATGTCAAATGATTGTGTGGTAATGATATTGAAAAGATGAAAACTCACAGTTTCTTTTCTTTTCAATTTGCAGTTTAATTGGTTGGGGTCAAATAAGAAGAGGAGTGACAATCAAACCAACAGTAGATGATGACTGAAGAATTTCAATCAAGTCAGATTTTCTATTATCAATTTAGCGATATATTTTCAGAGCAGTGCTACAGTGAATTTCATCTTAGTAGCAGTTATTCTAATTTTTTGGTGATGCATATGTAACCTCTAGTACTGAAATGGGGTCTATAATAATTGAAAATATTATTGGATTGAACCTATCAGAAATTAATCATTCCTGAATAATGTCTAATTTCTACATCACTGCTGATTTGAAATGAAACTGCTATAATTAGATTTTGCTGTAACACATGTACTACCAAACCTGTTTGAAATAAAATTTTTCTTCTTATTTTCATGATTCATCTTTGAGTAGCTCCAGGCTTGAAAGGATTATTACATCAGTATAAACTTGGAGATATAAATTCTTGAGGACCAGCTTCCCTTTGCCTCATATTTTATGGTGCTTTATCTTAGCAATTTTGCGTAAAAAGAAATGAATAGGTTCAAATAAAATTATCTTTTAGAGCATGAGTGCTGTTTCCATGGACACCTTTCTCTCCTCTCTATTTTCCTGGACTGGAACACAGGAAACTAGAGCCAGAAGTTCTCACTCTCTCCCTATGAAACCCGGCAGTTGTTTCTGTGTTGGTTGACACCTGAAATCCAACAGCCTTCTCCCATTGGAAAATACTGTTACATGAGGTGATTCTAGATAAGTAACAAAGATCTTTCCAGGCCTTATTTTATAAAATTCTAATATTAGTAATTTAAAAAAATATATTAGTAATCATTGGACCTTTCAAGAGATAAAAGATGTTTGAAAGCAGTGAGTGTGCCCTTTGATTTTTAACTTATTTTCCATGTTCATGCACTTTTCCTGTGCTGTGCTTTTTTATTTTCACTTATTTTTTGTTTCATAAGATTTTTTTAGAGCAGTGGTTCTCAACTCTGACCGACATTAGAATTGCTAGAGAAACTTTAAAAAAAGATAGATGTCCCACAGAGATTCTGATTTAATTGGCTTGGGGTGGAGCCCAGGCATTGACGTTTTTAAAAACTCCCCAGTGTTGAGAAACAAGTTTAGAGTTGAGAAGTAGATGTATCAGATTACACAGAATCTGAGTGTTGGTAGTTTGATAATACTCTCATTTGCTTTTCTTAAATTTGCATTTTATGTGGGACTTGATGCTGTAGTCATAATAGTTTGCTCTTTTGGGCATTGAAGCTGGTGATTTGTAGATGCTTAGAAGCTGTGGCTATGAGTTGTGTAAGTTGATACGTTTTGAGGAAGCATATTAATGTTACATACTTGACTTTGAAGGGTTGTGTTGTCATGTGGAACACATTTAAATAAAGGTTCTAATCCAAACACTAATTTTATTTTATTGTTTTATCCTCACCCGAGGACATTCTTCCATTTTTTGTTCAGATAGAGTGGGGGTGGGGGAGACAGAGAGAAACATCAACGCGAAAGGGACACATCGAGTGGCTGCCACCTGCATGACCCAACCAGGGCCGGGGACAAACTGTAACTGAGGTACATGCCCTTAGCGGGAACCGAACCTGGGTCTCTCTGGACCGCAGGCCGACACTCTAACCTCTGAGCCCAACTGGCCAGGGCCAAACATTAATTTAATTTATTTTATTTTATTTATTATTTTTTTTAATCCTCACCCGAGGACATTTTTTTCATTTTTTGTTCAGATAGAGCGGAGGGAGAGAGAGAAAGAAACATTGACGTGAAAGGTACACATCAAGTGGCTGCCACCCACACAACCCAACCAGGGTGGGGAACAAACTGCAACCGAGGTATATGCCCTTAGCGGAAACCGAACCTGGGTCTCTCTGGACCACAGGCTGACGCTCTAACCCCTGAGCCAAACCGGCCAAGGCCCAAACATTAATTTTATATCTAACATGTCCCCTTGTGTTTTCTAAGCACCTTCTACCAGAAATTTTAGAGTAACATAAAATCCAGAGCTTTGCAATAGTTGACTAATTTATTTTATTATTATTATTTTAATTCTCACCCGAGGACATTTTTCCATTTTTTGTTCAGATAGAGTGGGAGGGAGAGAGAGGAAGAGAGAGAGAGAAAGAGAAACATCGACGTGAAAGGGACACATCGAGTGGCTGCCACCCGCACAACCAACCATGGCTGGGGACTAACTGCAACCGAGGTACGCGCCCTTAGCAGGAACCGAATCCGGGTCTCTCTGAACCACAGGCCGACGCTCTAACCGCTGAGCCACATCGGCCAGGGCTTTGTTATTATTTTTTATTATTATTTTATTTTTTTAATCCTCACCTGAGGATATTCTTTTGCATTTATCTTCAGATAGAGTGGAAGGGAGAGAGGGAGGAAGAGGGAGAGAGAAACATCGATGTGAGAGAGACACATTGACTGGTTGCCACCTACACGACCCCAACCAGGGCCGGGGACAAACTGCAACCAAAGTACATGCCTTTAGTGGGAACCGAACCCAGGACTCTCCAGTCCATGGGCCAACGCTCTAACCGCTGAGCCAAACCAGCCCAGGGCTTATTTTATTATTATTTTTTTTATCCTCACCTGAGGACATTTTTGCATTTATCTTCAAAAAGAGCGGGAGGGAGAGAGGGGGAAGAGAGAGAGAAACATCGACATGAGACACATCGACTGGTTGCCACCCACACGATCCCAACTGGGACCGGGGATAAACTGCAACCGAGGTATGTGCCCTTAGCTGGAACTGAACCCGGGCCTCTTCGGTCCACGGGCCAACGCTCTAACCGCTGAGCCAAACCAGCCAGGGCTTATTATTTTTTTAAAAATATTTCTTTTGATGTTTAGAGAGAAACACTGATGTGAGAGTGAAATATCGATCAGCTGCCTCCTGCATGCCCCCCTACCGGGGATCAAGCCCAAAACCCGGGCAGATGCCCTGACCAGAAACAATCGGCGGCCTTTGCACAGGACAATGCCCAACCAACTGAGCCACACTAGCCAGAGCAACTAATTTATTTTAATTACATGTCGGAACTGAAACCAAAAGTCTCACTTGAATTTCAACAAATTTGCAAAGCACTGTGCTTCATGTAAATAAAAAAATAATGGGCCTTATTTTCGTAGAACCTGAAGTCAGTGCAGTGTCTCAGCAAAAGCCATACCTAGTTGAGAATCTGCTTGTAATGTGATGTTGCTGATGAAAATACATTGCTCTCTCATCAAGATATTTTCACAATCTGACCAATTCTTACCACCTCCACTGCTACCATCCTAGTCAACGTTAACCAGTGGCTCTCACCAGAGGCAATAATAACACTGTAACCTCTTCCTGCTTCTATACTTTCACCACTGCAGTCTTATCAGCATAGGTAGTTACCCTTTTTAAAAAAATATGTCTTTATTGATTTTTTTTAGAGAGAAAGGAAGGGAGAGAGAGAGAAACATAGATCAGCTACCTCCTGCATGTCCCCTACTGGGGATTGAGCCCAAAACCCGGGCATGTGCCCTGACTGGGAAATGAACTGGGACCTCAGTCCATGGGATGATGCTCAATCCAATGAGCCACACCTGCCAGGCAGCAATTACCCATTTTGTAAGAGAATGCTATGCACAACTCTCTAAATTATAAAGTTAGTCTCACAGAAATGGGGGGCATGAACCAGGTTCAGCTGTAACATCACCCAAATGATTTCCAGGCTGACCTAGAAAGCTATCTCCACTATTTCACTCTGTAACCTCCCAAGATGTATGTGTTTGGCTTTTGCAGAGGAAAAATAACTTCTTTTAATAAGAGCGTGCAAATGACTGCACTCGCATAAAACTTCTGAAATCCCATTTCTAGAAAAAAATATGGTAAAGCTTCCAGTGAAATGGATGCTTTTCTAGAAATACACAAAAAATATTTTAACTTAGCAAAAATGAAGCAGGTGCCTTTAAAATATTGATAATCAAGAAATTGAGGTTAAAAAATTACTTTTATAAAAGTTTTTACATTCTGCCAAATTTTAAGGAATAGGTAATTCTGATACTTAAATTGTTCCAGAAAATAGAAAATGAAAAGGGGGTGGAAAAGAGACATCCTGTCCTGGCCGGTTTGGCTTAGTGGTTAGAATGTTGGCCCGCGGAACAAAGGGTCTTGGGTTCGATTCCTGTCTAGGAAACATACCTGGGTTGCAGGTTTGATCCCCATCCCAGCTGGGGTCATGGGGAAGGCAACCAGTTGATGTGACTGTCACATCAATGTTTCTCTCTCCCTCCCTCCCTTCCACTCTCTAAAAAATCAATGGAAAAATATCCTTGAGTGACGATTAACCAAAAAAAAAAACAAACCAGAGACACCCTAACTCATTGTTCAAAATTATATCACTGCTGCCCAAACCTGGAAAGAATACTACCAAAAACAACAAAATCACTAGAGACCTCACAAAGTTATACAACTCATACTAAAATATTAGTAAATTAAGTCCAGCAATATATTAAAAAATAATGCACTCTGGTACACACCTGGATGTTTTTATGGGTTGGGAAAAAAGCATACCTTGAAGATGTATTTGCTACAATTCAAAATTTTAAAAACGTAGGTGATGTAGGGAAGAAAACAACTTGATGTAGTGTACTTAGGGAACTATCAGAATTATTATTTTTAATGATGAAAAAAATTTCATCTTGGTAAAAAGTTTACTTGGGTAGAAAGGGGGTAGCCCGGCCCATGTGGCTTAGTGGATTGAGCATTGTCCCATGGACTGAGAGGTCCTGGTTCGATTCCCAGTCAGGGCACATAGAGTTGTGGGCTCTATCCCCAGTTGGCATGCAGGAGGCAGCTGATCGATGTATCTCACATCAATGTTTCTATCCCTTTCTCTCTCAAAATCAATAAAAGCATTTGAAAAAAGAAGGGGGTTGTGGGGTTGAAACCCTGGCCAGTTTGGCTCAGCGGTTGAGCATCGGCCTGCGGATCAGAGAGTCCTGGGTTCGGTTCCCGCTAGGGGCACGTACCACCAAAAATAATAATAATAATAATAACTAGGGTGAAATTTAGAGGGTGGGAAGCAGTCATCCATTGCATTCCACCAGAATTCATGTTATTGTTTGGTTTCTGTATTCTCAAAGCTTGGAACGAGTCAAGAATGCTAGCTGCCACTTCAGTTTTACAACATGGTTCTCTGGGGCTTAGCAAATGAGAGATAAATATTGGGAGTGGAAGCGACAGAATATTATTTACAAGGTCTAAAATTGTCTACCTAAAAATAAAACCCAGAAACTGAAAAACCTGAAATGCTAAGAGAATTCAGTGAGGTGATAAACATGCAAAAGTTATTAGTTTACTAAATAATTTACTAATTTGTTTACAACACACACAAATACACAAATCAGAAAATGCAATCGGGCCCTGGCCGGTTTGGCTCAGCGGTTAGAGCGTCGCCGAAGACCAGAGAGACCCAGATTCAGGTTCCGCTAAGGGCACGTACCTCAGCTGCAGTGTGTCCCCGACCCCGGTTGGGGTCGTGTGGGTGGCAACCACTCAATGTGTCTCTCTCATGTCGATGTTTCTCTCTCCCTCCCTCCCCATTATCTGAAGATAAATGCTAAAAAAGAAAAAGAAAATGCAATCTGTATAAACTATCCAGGTGTAAATTTGACAATAATATGCAAGGTATATATGAATGCAGCTAACATTTGAAGGAGAAAAAAGGAAATATGAGTAATGAAAAAATAGGCAATATTCTTGGATGGGAATACTCAATATTGTGCAGATGACTGCCATTTTTTCTATAAATTCAATGCAGTCCGAATAAAAGTTTCAATAAGACTTTTTTTTTTATCCTCACCTGAGGACATTTTTGCATTTATTCTCAGAGTGGGGGGGGGAAGGGGGAAGAGAGAGAGAAACATTGATATGAGAGAGACACATCGACTGGTAGCCACCCACACAACCCCAACCGGGGACAGGGACAAACTGCAACTGAGGTATGTGCCCTTAGCGGGAACCGAACTGAACCTGGGTCTCTCTGGTGCGCGGGCCGACACTCAAACCGCTGAGCCAAACCGGCCAGGGCTCAATAAGACTTTTTATTTTATTTTATTTATTTATTTTTTAATCCTCACCTGAGAACATTTTTCCATTTTTTGTTCAGGTAGAGTGGGGGGGGGGAGAGGAACAGAGAGAGAGAGAGAGAAACATGGATGCGAAAGGGACACATCGAGTGGCTGCCACCCGCAC